CCTCTTTTTTTTTTTTTTTTTTTTTTTTTTTTGTTGTTGTTGGTGGTGGTGGTGGTTTTTCGAGGCAGGGTTTCTCTGTGTAGCTTTGCGCCTTTCCTGGAACTCACTTGGTAGCCCAGGCTGGTCTCGAACTCACAGAGATCCGCCTGGCTCCGCCTCCCAAGTGCTGGGATTAAAGGCGTGCGCCACCACCGCCCAGCTCTCTGTCTCCTTTTTTTATAACAGTTTTTATTTTATTTTATTTTTTTACAATTTATTTATTACATATACAGTGTTCTGTCTGCATGTATGCCGGTATGCCAGAAGAGGGCGCCAGATCTCATTATAGATGGTTGCGAATCACAATGTGGTTGCTGGGAATTGAACTCAGGACCTCTGGTAGAACAACCAGTGCTCTTAACCTCTGAGCCATCTCTCTAGCCCCCTGTCTCCTTTTATACACTCCTTTGTATCAGAACAGGTAGCTGTTATTGATAGATTGCGTCACATTTCAGAATCTGTAGAATTAGCTTGCAGTGGAGTACCAGATGAGAATGCATTTGCTTCATTCTAATTTGGGTGTCTGCTTAAATTAGAGGAACTGGAGGGCCTTCTTCACTTCTTTCTTCAGTGTAGTATTTTCTTTCCTTCTCTCACTCACTTTTGGTTTTTCAAGACAGGGTTTCTCTGTGTAGCCCTAGCTGTCCTGGAACTCACTCTGTAGACAAGGCTAGTCTCCATCCACTTGCCTCTGCCTCCCAAGTGCTGGGATTGAATCATGCACCACCCTGCCCAGCTCATCGTAGTATTTTCAGCCCAACATCTCTTCTGCAAAACTGTTTTCTCCTTCAGAAGAGCAACCTGTAGCTTAAGACATTCAATGATTTTGTCTGTTCTTACTCTTCTGCTCTAGAAACAGCAGAAAATAATGAAGCAACAGCTCCAGAGCCCTTTTTGTCTCTAAACTCTCTCTATACCTGTGTACACAGGATTGGTGCTCCCATTGAATTAGTTCCTCTTGGGGACTAATTCTAATCGTCCTTCTCCTTGTCAAAGGGAAGTGTGCACCATTGAACTCTCAGCACCCAACCCAATCCTGTGCCCTCATCTAGTATTTAATAAACATGTGTTGGTTAGCTGGGGTTATGCCCTGGATTCTCACTTCAATATCATGAATATATATGTATATGTATATATATGTGTGTATATATATATAGTATAATATTAGCGGGACAAGCCTTAATATTATACATCCCAGGGGCTCAGGAGAGAGAACTACTAACGGCGAGGACTATTTTCAGGAAATAGAATCTCAGCACACCAAGCTCTATTGTCTACTTGCTTTAATTCTTCTGGGATAACATCCTATTTACACAGCTTCAGTTCTGTTCTCCTGTCTAGCTCCTTTCTTGCCTGATTTCTCTCTATACTTATCTATTGCTCCCTCTAGGTTCTATCTTAATTCCTTCATCTAGTTCTGTCCCTTCTAGGTTCTCATCCATCTTGTTCCTTTCCATATCATCTCCTCTCCCGTCTCCTTCTCTCTCCTCATCTCTTTCTTCCTCATCTTGTTCTTCCCCATCTGACTCTTCCTCATCTTCCATCTCATTCTCTAGTACTCTCTTTTAGCCCTTCAATCTTCTTCCCCATCTCAGTTTGTTCCTCTCAAGTTCTTACCCATCTAGTTCTTCCATTCTCTTTTCTCTTCTCTGTCCTCCACGTTCCCTGGATGTCCTGGTATATGTACACTTACAAGCAGTATTCCCTTAGCAGTGCAAAGCCAGGCTTCCAGGGTCAAATGGAGGGGTGATAAGAATCACATAGGGAGGCAATAACTGTTAATTATCATTTACAACCCCAAAGGGAAGTGACCAGTGGGGAAAAGAATTAACTAAAGGCTAAATTCAGGTAATATCTAAGAAGAAGGATCTTATGTGCTCAACTATTAAACTCTTAAATGTGATTAGTAGAAAACGTTAAGAATCTATAAGTTGCTATGTCAATAGGAGAAAATAAAACTGCCTTCTTTTTTCCTGTGGCTCCTATCTGTCCAAGCTATCTGCCGTTTTTTTGCAGGGTGGGGGAAAGTGTACTCAGTCGCTAAGCAACCTGTGTACAGCTAGATGCCTCTGGTGATAGTTAAAGGGAGATCTGGAACCAGAGGTAAGATTTGGGAAAGCAGGAAGTAGAGTTTAATTGGCACATCCGCCAGGCCTTCTCAAATGGGTAGCCTGGATGCTTAAGTCTGTTCTTAGAAAGTACGGCGGTATCTCTGATAAGATACTTTCCTCCATCTGGGGATGGACCTGGCCAGATGCTGCTAATGACGATAATTACAGGGAGGCTTGAACTGGGGTTCTGGCTGAGCATAGCTGTCAGTGCAGAAGGTTATCTAAATATTCCTAGAAGTAGTTAGGTAAGGAGTTAAGTTAGTAAGGCTGTAAGAAAGGAGGGTCTGAGCTAAATTGTGTAAAGCTATTACTTAACGTCCACCTGACCTAGGTGGTGTCTCCTTGTGGAATTTACCTTAAATCAGGAGACTTGCATGTGGACTGTTATTACTGCTAGTCCTTGAAAGTGGCCAAGGGAGATATCTGATTCCAGAGAAAGCCTTTCCTGAGGCTGTTCTCCAAATACCTGGAATGTGTATGTCCAGAGAGTCTACACTGTTAGTCCTTCTTAGGGGAAAGTCAATTGGAAAAACTATGAAGGCACACATGATTTTCATAACAGAATACAGCTGATATATAACAAGCCAAGCAACACCAAAAACTCCTTGGGATTTGGCTTCCTCTGGAGGAATTCCCTGATTCCTCCAGGTAGTGAATTTGCCATAATCAGCTGACTTCTTATGATATATTCCTGCAACCTGCAGCATATACATATATATATATGTATAGGTATACGTGTGTGTGTGTGTGTGTGTGTGTGTGTGTGTGTGTGTGTGTTATGCCCAGATCTCAGGGGCCCCCAAAAGAACACTACGGAGACTGAATCCCACATGTAAAAGCAAAGAGCCTTTATTTCAAGCTCTAGGGCTTGGTCCCTCTGTCTGTCCAACTCAGTGGTGACCAGAGAGCCCCAAGCTCAGGTGGGATGGGGTTTTTATCATCGCAGAGGTTGGAGTGAGGGGATTTCCAGGGTTCAGGAGCCTGATAGGCTGACAATTGTCTAGGGTTATCTGGGTAAGAAGGGGAAATAGGTGTGCACTAGGCTCAAGGACATCTGGCCACCTTATCTAATGGTTGGGATGTTTGGGATGGTAGGTATTTCCTCATCCCTGGATGGATCCCTGGGTAGTGTCAGCTTAAGGCTTTTCCTGGATCTGGGTGTCGCCTGCCAGTAAGCCTGTCACAGAAGCTGTGTCTGGGCCCCTAATCCCGTTATGGTGGCTGTGTGGTCAAGCTGTTTTGGGGCCCCTCCATAATATATAGTGGGCTGAGCAGCATTCTGAAGAGATGGATGTAACATTCTCAACGAGTTACAAAGGAAGCTCTAACGTAGGACCAATAAATGACTCTGTAAGAAAGAATGTAAAATAGAATTTAAAAGCCTCAAGTATTCTCTACAGCAGAGCCATGAAAAGAGTATCCTACCTGGGGGAGCCAGAGCCCTTCAGGATACTTTTTGAAGAGCTGGGTCTCCTGCTGTTGTACCCATGTCTTGATGCAAGCACACAAGGGTCTTTTTATTGTCAGGTTCAAACCCGGGCCATGCCTGGCGGATAGATGGAAATGTGGCGGCAGCAACTGGCCCAGGGTAGAGAGTTTTAAAGGGAAAAGCCACAAGCCGGGAATTACATGCCTTGGCATCTTGGGATAGGGTAGAAGGGATATGGGGCAAGATGATATTTTGAAACTATTGGTCCAGACTTTCGGCATGAAACCACATTTGAAACTATTGGTTTAGACTCTTGGTGTGGAACCACAACCTGCTGACAGGATTACCTAGATGTCTGCAAGGCACATAAACCTCTGACTGGATGTCTGCAGAAGCATCTGGATCTTGTTAAACTTTACTGCCCTGTATCTGTTCCAGTTGTCATGGCACATTCCTGAGGCTCTTCCTGGAACTGAGTACAGCCCCCAGTCACCAGGTGGTCTAAAATGGTGGCCCTTCCTTAAGATGGAGTCTCATATTGCCTTCACGTTACACAATGACATTCTGAGTTTATGTGTTGGTATTGAGTGTCCTCACATGGAAAATAGGCTAAACAATTTCCATTTAATGAGATTATAATGAATATGGCCCATTCCTAAAATGATGGAAGAGTGCATGGCTCAGCTTTTGCTTCAGGCGTTCTCAGTGGAGATGGTCACTGCCATCCTGTAAAACGTGCGTTGTAAGTCAGTGGCGTCCATATCTGAGCTGAGCCTCCATGTGTGTCATGGAGGCCCGCATTCCACTAGCAAAAGCAGTGACCTGCCAGCAGCCTTTGCTTGGACGGCGGCTTCAGCCAGCGGCTGGCAGGAATAACTACAAGTCCCATGACACTACGTTGATCCCGCCTGCTAGCTCCGCCCCAGAGCGCCGGGCTTTCCTCCCCTGCTCCGAACGCGGCCAACCGCCAGGCCCGACCCGCGTGATGTCATTTGGGCTTCTGCGTCCTGGCGGCCGGAAGTTGGCTCTGGAGTCCCCGGACTGCGGTCCAGGCTTCAGAGAGCGGCCGCGATGCCTTCGTCGCGACTGGTCAGTCAACTCCTGGAACTGTGAGTCCGCCCCAGCCCGCCCCCTTCGCGGCTCCCGGCACGTCCGTCTGTCCGCGCCCCCTCCCGTCCCTCCCCTCGCCCACTTCCCAGCCCGCCGGTTCCTAGTCCTGGGCCGGGATGGGCGCCTGGTCTCTGAGGACCGCGGCGCACCGCGGAGCGGGCGGCTCCATCCGATGCCAGGGCTCCGAGGAGCGCTGAGAACCCAGGCAGAACAAAAGAAAGCATGAGCCGGCCTGGAAAAACCTCAGGAAATGCGGGTGCGGGCGCGGTTCGCCATCTTTGGGACCAGGGACGGTAACATAATCTCCTAAAATTCGGGCAACAGTAGGGCATGGCAGCTCATGCCTGCAGTCCCAGCCCTCTGGGAACTGAAACAGGAGGACTGCCACGAATTCGAGGCTAGCGGGGTTGTGTTGTGAGATACTGTTGCCCCAAAGCAAATAAACAAAAATTTGAAATTTCGTGTAACAGTACCAATTACACGAGGCTTTGTGAGAATCACCTTAGGAAGACACTGCGCATGGTGGCAAACACCACTTGAGAGATGAAGGAAGATCAAAAGATCAAGGCCCTCCTCAGTTATCCAGTGAGTTAAAAGCTGGATTCAGTGTTAGTTATTGTTCCTATTTAAAAAAAAGAAAGAAAGAAAAGGAAAGAAAAAGAAAAACTATAAGAAAAAAAGCAGTAATGGTTCAAGACTGGAAGCTACTTTGGTTCCATTGATGCATCTAACATTACATGAGCAAAAGGTATTTCTTGCCTAGGTTCCAGTTGTTTTCTTCTGAATTTCTTGTTATTTTATCCCCCTTGAGACAGGATCTCATGTAGCCCAGGCTGGACTCAGACTCACATACAGGCTGACTTTGAGCTCTGGAGCCTTCTGT